AGTGTTACAAAATTATAGTGGAGAAAAATAGAGTGCATTTAAAGTGGTAATAAAGGGATTAAAAAGGAAAGTAATAATGATTGTGATTGGCAAGTAATTGATTTTAACTGGAACGTTTCTTTAAAATTCAAGGAAAATCAATAAGACGATTGGTGCTGGCACTGCGTGAAGCAAGGTGACTCACAAGGCCATCATCATCACTAGAGTGTTCGCCCTCATCCATTTCACCACCATTAACCGGATACTTTTTCAACTTTTGAGAAGGCTTCGAGTAACGAGTATTGAGACCGGTTAGAGAGGTGCCATTGCTTGGAAACGAAAGCTCTTGATCTTCAAACACGTCATCGTCGTCATCTGAAATTAACAACGACGTAAACTCTTTATTTGTCAGCTTTTGATAGCTGGCCTGCTGAGCAGAGGCTGGCAATGAGGATGACTCTGAAGAGGGTGCTGAATCACGGTACGATCTGCTGGCTCCATTTTTCATCAATGAGGGGGACAACTGTGAGGCCAGGTCAATGTCCAGGCCGGTGCCCATGATGTCCCAGTCAACTTCGGTGATGTCGTTGTTCGGTGTTCGGCGAGGTGCTTTCTGCAAACAAAAAAAGTTGAAACAAAGTTATTAGTATTCTATCGTTTTAAAATTTCCCAATGTTTACATTTTTCTTCACGCTATTAGTATTTTGATGCACCTGCTGACTAAACAGCTCATCCTCGGCAGCGTCTTCTTCCTCTTCAGTGTCAAATGAAGAGTCCAGGTGTCGCTGTGGAGTGTACTGGCAGCTGTAGTGCTGTCCGCGGAGACCAACAAAGGAGGACTGCCGCTGAAAGCGGCCAAAAAGTGCCCTCAGAAAAGATGAGCTCTCTGAACCACTTCTCATCAGCCCACTGCCTCGACTTCCGTTCTTTCCACCTAAGGCAGTGATTGTCCTTTCCGCCGCCGCCTTGCGTCGTCCCGAGCCGCTGCCCGTACTGCTGAAACCGGCCGTCAACACCAGACATATGCCCAGCATGAAGATGACCACAAAGCCGATGCCCACGTAGATGAGTACTGCAAAAAAGGGAAAAAATAATAAAAATGACTTTACTAAGCTTATTTAAAAACCCAGGCAGACAACACTTACAGTGCACCAGCTTTTCACTTCTCTCAATGTGCGGCTGTCCCTTGGCCAGGTGGCTGCGGACGTAGTCATTGCCGTCGACATCGTAGAGCGTCCTGGAGAGCATGCCGCGCACCCGAGCAAAGGAGCCATTGTGGCGGGGAAAGCGCTCCAGGGGAATGCCCACCAGGTGGAGCATCAACGGGTAGAGGTCGACGTTCTCGAAGACGGTCGGGTGGTGGTACGCCTCGCCGGAGCGGAAACGCGGCCCCTGGGCGACGAACAGCGGTCGCATGCTCGGCGCGCTGGCGTTGTAGCCGTGATTGCCCCACACCGGAAAGCCCTTCGGCCGCCAGCCGCCATTGTCGCCGATGACCACCTCGTGGCCGTCCTCGGCGACGAGGAACAGGTCCAGCAGGCGGCGGTTGGTGCCGGCGTAGTGCCACTCCGGCGGCACCTCGCTGCTCCGGTACACCTTGAAGTTGCCCGAGAAGAGCTGCTCAGCGCAGCGATTCAGGGCGTCTCGAACGGCGACCACCACCTTGTTGTGGTTGTTGCTGTTGTTGTTTGCAGTGTTTGCTAGAGTTCCAGTGGGGGCGGACTCGGCCACCAGCGAGTACACCGGCGACACGCCGTACATGCTGAAGCGGAGACCGGGGAAGAGCTTCTTCTCGCACTGCTCAATGTGAAAGACCGTCGAGGTGGAGTTGTGAATCTCGGCCATGCCGTGGTCGGAGAGGAAGATGACGTTGGTCAGGTGGGAGAGGCCCTTTTCGGTGATCTGCCGCCGAAAGTAGCCCACCAGGTCGTCCAGACGGCGCACCTGCTCCCTTACCTGCGCACTGAAGGGGCCGTACTCGTGAGCCGTGGAATCCGGTTCGGGCAGGTACACAAAGGCGACATTGGCCGGGGCGACTGGATCGGTGAGCCAGTCGAGGGTGACGTCGACGCGGCGGTACCAGTCCATTGCCTTGTCGTAGTCTTGCAGGTGGTGAACGCGGGTTCGATTTGGAGAGGAGGAAGAAGAAGAAGAAGAAGAGGAAGAGGAAGCAGTCCCATCAGTGTAGCTGGCAATGGAGCCCGGCCACTGCATTGCCCCGCTGAAGCGCACCCCCGGCTCGTACAGCTGATTGGCAATGTACAGCGGCACTGAGAGGTTGTTCATGTCCCACCAGAAGGCGGAGGGCGAGTCGACGTCAAAGTGACCTGGGTGGCCGTGGCTGTCCACCGAGGCGGAGGGATCGATGAACTCGTTGTTCACTACGCCGTGGTAGGGCTGGTAGAGGCCGGTGACGATCGATTGGTGATTCGGGTAGGTTTTCGTGACCATCGTTGACTTCATGTGTCCTGATTTGAAGAGAGAATGAAAGTTATTTAGTAAAGAGAGATTTAAGCGGCTAAATAAAGCAAACTGGGTTACCTCTAACGCCGTCCTGAGCCAGAGCGTACAGATTGGGCGTGTCAGTGGCGGTGACGTAGTCATGGCGAAAGCCGTCAAAGCTGAAGACGACCAGTTTGAGTAGTTTTGCCGTCGGTGTACCTGATGAGTCAGCCGACGAGTTTATGCTTGAGTCCTTCAAAATGGGAGATGAGTTTACATTGCTGATGCCAGTGATAATGAGCAGCAGAAGAAGAAGAAGAAGAAGAGGAAGCTGTGAGGTATTAGCGTACCACCAACTTGTGTCGGCAGTGGGCTTCATTGCTGTTGTTGCACTGTGTACTACTGTTTCTGGCACTGGAACAAAGGGAATGGCAACCAGAAATGGTACTTTCCTACTGTTGAAGATCAATGGCTGGTGATTCCTGAAAAGCATTAAAAAGAAAGAAAATCAATAAAAAGACATTTGTACGATAACACTGAGCAGGAAAGTGAAAACCAGCTTGTCAAATAATAGTTTTATCATTAAATCTCTAGCCAGCAAAAGTAGTTTTCAAGCTTAAAACATCTATTCAGCAAAGTAAATCTATCTGGTTGTAAAATGTACTACTACTTGTTTAGCGTTTTAATAATCTAAAGTTATAATAAAATCAATATCTATTTATAGTATTTGAAAAAAGTTTGTTATAATAACATGATCCATTCCTCTTCTTGCTCAATCACTCTAACAATAACATTACAACCTAACAATTAAATTAATTGACTACGTCATTAGTTTTCAATTTAATTAGTACTATCAGACTACGACGCAAAAACTTACACATTGGAAATGTTTTGATAAACAATAACAAATCAAAACTAATTATGATGTTTATGGTAATCACAAAAGTTGTTTCGAATATCTGGAAAAAAATGTTAATTAAAAGTGATATCGTTTTAAAAATAAGGTCAAAGGTTNTAACAATAACAAATCAAAACTAATTATGATGTTTATGGTAATCACAAAAATTGTTTCGAATATCTGAAAAAAATATTAATTAAAAATGATATCGTTTTAAAAATAAGGTCAAAGGTTACAGTGCAAAAGTTTTGGTTAGATAAAAGAAAGTTTTGATCTAGAGGAACAACAGTAAACTTTCTTAACAGCACAAACGTCAATTTGAGAAGATTAGATAATAAACTTAAAAGTCTGAAGTGCTACTTACCACAAAGGTTACACCGCTTTCACCCTCCTCGCCATCTTCAGCATCACCACCACCTTCTTCACCTTTATCACTGCTACTACCAGTGTTTAGTCAAGCAGTTTAGTGTAAACACGTGTGAGAATGTGAAATCACGTGGTGAATGGGTGACACGAGCGGTGGTGGTGGTGGCGGTGGTGCAAGTGAGATACCAGAAAAGAGAGGGATCAGCACCTAAGCAGGTGATCTGAAAAGAGCCTCGTGAGCAGTGGCAATATCAGCAAGAAACCCAGGACTTTTGAATCTAATCATTTGCCTGGAAGAAAGGAAAACTTGTAGGGCAGCAGTTAGCAAAGGTAGAATAGTAATGATTATCTTTAAAGTACTCCAAAGAATGGTCAATTCTTACCGATTCTAAAGGAAAGCGGTGTGCGGACGTGCTAACAAGTGCTGAGTGGCAAGTGCCACAGTGCCGCAGTGGCCGTTGCGGCAGACCGACAGACCGACAGGCAGACAATCACAACAAACTGGCTGCCGAATGTGCGAAAGCACCTAAGTGGAAACAGTCGCCACAGAAGGGACAGCAGCCACCAAACAAACATTGCTTTGCCACTTCTTCAGATGCGTTAGGTCAAATAGAAAGCAGACGATACTGAATCATAGTGTAAAGATTTAAATTTTTGTTAAGTGTCAAGATAAGAAACCCGANGTGTAATGATTTAAATTTTTGATAAGTTTCAAGATAAGAAACCCGACAGTGTAATGATAAAAGTCCGACCTGTACAATCTGAATTCTCATCAGCAGCGGCAACTGAGCCGCCGTCGTGAAAATAGTCGCCACCGTCGTCTCTTTTGCCCTCTCTCTCTTTCTCAAACAGGCAAACAGAGAGCGCCAGCCAGCCAGCCAGCCACTTCTCGCTTACAGCTTTGGTGTCACTCGCTTGCCTCGTGTTTGCCAGCCTGTCTGCCATCCAGCCAGCACACTGCAGTGTGCTGCATTCTGACCGCACTCTGATCACATCGGTTGACGTCTTCTGCTGCTGCCGTTTCACCACTGGCAAAGTCACCACCACCACCACCACCACCAGTGATTGTTTCTTCTGTTCCTTCCCTTACCTCATCACCACTGCCCATTTGAAGTTGGCTAAGGTAAGAGATCAAAGGTTTCTGTTGTTGTTGTTGTTACTAACCAATTGCTGTAACCTTCACTCGCTTATTTACCGTTTTTCAACTTACCTTTTTTCCCTTTCCAGCACTCAACACTATTTATTCGCTCATCAGCTCACACATTCTCTTACCACTGCTCATCAACAAAACACCACTATCAAAACCGCTGCCATCATGTTCTCCCGTCAGCTTCAACGCCTTCTAAGCAACAGCGGCGATCTTTCCTCCTCATTTTTGGCCACCACCACCACAACGGCAGTTAGAGCGTTGTCTGGTTCCGGCGGCAAGGTGGCCTCTTTCCAGACGAAGCCCTTCAAGTTGCACCGACTTGAGTACGGCCCCTCAACTGAGGTGTCAGTCAGCGATGAGGACGCCCTCAAGTTCTACCGGGAAATGGCCACCGTCCGCCGACTGGAGGCGGCCGCCAATGCGCTGTACAAGGAGAAAGCGGTCAGAGGCTTCTGTCATCTGTACACCGGCCAGGAGGCAGTCTGCGTCGGCATGGAGGCCGCCATTACGTAAGAGCTTAGCTAGCCGAGTTTGATAAAATCGCAGTGATAACTAAAACTTATCAACTCTCTATTTGCCTCTACTTTGCCACAGCAAAAAGGACGCCGTCATCACCGCCTACCGCGCCCACGGCTGGACCTACGTCCGCGGCGTCAGTCTGGTGGGCGTGCTGGCCGAGCTGACCGGCCGAAAGACGGGCTGCGCCCGAGGAAAGGGCGGCTCCATGCACATGTACCACGATGTAAGTCTACCTCTGACCGTAAAACAAACATCATTGTAACCAAAACAATCCTCCCTTTCTTTTCGGCAGCGATTCTACGGCGGCAACGGCATCGTCGGCGCGCAGATGCCCCTCGGCGCCGGCATCGCCCTCGGCCAGAAGTACGCCGACAGCGGCGAGCTGACGCTGGCCCTCTGCGGCGACGGCGCCGCCAACCAGGGCCAGGTCTTCGAGGTGTACAACATGGCGAAGCTGTGGGGCCTGCCGGTGATCTTCATCACCGAAAACAACGGCTACGGCATGG